ACAAATGCATGTATTTAAAAGAACAAAAACTGGAAAAAAAAGTGTCATCGTGGACAAAACCATAAACCCCGTTTGAATAAAGTTGCAGTCGCTTGTAGTAAATACCAAAAGTAATAGAAATAAATGCATCCTACTATCGTCTAAGTATCACAATAGTCAAGATATGCAACAATAGCCAAGACATGCAACAATAGGCAAGACATGCAACAGTAGCCAAGACATGCAACAATAGGCAAGACAAGCAACACTTAATTCACGTTACGATCAAACATCTAATTATTAGAGTCATCAGCTACAGTAGGAACTGAATGCACCGAACTGATCAATAAGTGTAATTTTAATCAATGTATAATTTTACGAACGCTCATATTTACGATTACATCTGTGTAGTTCTTCTCAAATTAATAGATTTTAGTGAGTTTGATATAAACACGATTTTTATAGTTCATTACTAAAAATAATTTTAATATTTTATTATTGATACTTTACTTAGATCCCTAAATGTTCTAAGTTCTACGATTCCAACAACGAGGTATGCATCGATGAGAACAATAGGATATAGGCACGCACGTTCAATGTCACTTATTCTATCTCTTTTTTTCTTTTCTACACTTAAATACCGATTTATTGATTTATGTAAGCTTTTGGTTCAGTTACTGGATCAGTAAGATGTTAGCCTGCACCACAAACTGTGATGAGTAACGTGTGGGATAGATGCAACTGTCACTTTTTGTTCGATTAAAAAAATCAAACGAGACATAAAAAAGTGTAATGTTTGTGATTTACGACTATAAAAGTTCTATCTATCACAATATAACAAGAATACTGAAAGTAACATCAAAAGAAAAATTAATATTTACATGTAAAAAGTTTACTGTTATTGTAAAGAACAGTAATCTAATTATTACGTTGTTAATACATATGAGATAAATGTTGTATTAAATTTATTTCCTGTTATTGTAAAGAAACAGTGATCCAATTATTACATTGTTAATACATATGAGATATATATTGTTTTAAATTTATTTTCTGTTATTCTAAAGAAACAGTAATCTAATTATTACGTTGTTAATACATATGAGATAAATATTGTATTAAATTTATTTCCTGTTATTGTAAAGAAACAGTGATCCAATTACTACATTGTTAAGGCATGCGAGATTAATATTGTTTTAAATTTGTATACTGTTATTGTAAAGAACAGGAATCTAATTATTACATTGTTAATACATATGAGATAAATGTTGTATTAAATTTATTTCCTGTTATTGTAAAGAAACAGTGAT